TTGTCAGACTACGTTAAATCTAGCAATCCGAACGATTCGAAAGGAAATGACAAAGCTCGTGACTAGGATTATTATATACAAGTTCTGTAGTGAGGCAAAGGTGAGTGCAATTTATTTATTTAATTATTTTGATCGAGGACGACTTGCGATAAGTCAACCTCACCTTATTTATTTCAAAGATATGAATTATGTTTTGATTATGAAATTATATCCATAATTTCTTTAATAAGTTTTATGAAAGTTTTTGGACATGAACTGTCCATGTCACATTTTAAGAATGTGAATTAAATATATTTTCGAATCTGATATGATGTTTATCAAATAGTTAAGAAATGAACTAAAAGCCCACTGTATGTTATATTGAGAGTCAAAGGTACAATTGGCATGACATGAGGTGGAGTGATTATCTGTTCTGATTTTGATATATTGTGGTGTACCAGAGTGTACACTAGTATATATATATTCTGATCTGAATGCACCTGGTGTGCATATTGTTATTTCCGATGTGATAGCACTGTGTGTGCTTATCTGTTCTGACTGATGATCTGATATCTGTATTGCGCACACTCGTCTGACTCACGTATCTTATATTCTCTTAAAATATACTTTGGGCTATAAAAATGAAATAAGAAAGTTCTGAAAAGTGTCTGACTACAAAGAATTATGAATTGATTATTCTATCTGATATGATTATTTATGATCTTGTGAAAATTATCAGATGATTATTTTCAGGTTTATTATAAAGTTCAACATGAGATATCCGGTTTGAATGTTCTGAAGAATTTCAGTCTGTCTTATTTTAATGATTTTATATATATTTTGATATTTTATTTAATTATTCTCACCTTTAGTATTACTGCCTCACTAAGTTATACTTAGCGCGTGATGATTTTCATGCGTAGGTTCTAGTAAGGATAAGTACGATCAATAAGGAGCTATCGGAGCATCTTTTGGAAAGACATACATATCATCAGTATCAGTAAGACATCTATGATGTTTCTTTTGACTTATAGTGGCATGTATAATTATGTCAATAGTTTCTAATTATCGTATTTATTTTAAATAAATTGTAATAGTAAACTAGAACTATTTTAGTTTATTTTACTTAGTTTAGTTTTATTGGTAACTATGCATGACAAGAATTTATTACATTATTATGTTTTTAAAAGGTTTTACGAAAAGATATGGTTTAGTAAAATTACTGAATAAATAATGATTTTATTTTTCTGTAATAAAGAAATAAATTATAATCTGAAATATACTTTAAAATATATTTTTAAAGTTAGAACAAGAGTATTTTAAAAGAAACAAATTTTTACGGAAATTTTAGTTCAATAAATGTTTTCAGTTTGATGTGACATCTTTAACTCGTATATCGAGACATATACGGGTTAAGGGTGTTATATTTTTCTTTGTTCTACAATTTTGCAAACAATCTACCTTGTGAGGATTTCCTTGTAAGTTTGCAAATTTGTATTGTTCTCTTTGGGAGAGAGTGTTCTCAAGAATTTGGGGTATAATTCTTGAGGGTTTGTAAGGTTACTCTTTGTCTTCAAAAGAAAGATAAATTAGTGAATTTGTGGAAAATCCTTAGTGTGGATACCTAAGGTAGTGGACGTAGACTTTGGTTGAGAAAGTCGAACCACTCTAAATCGTTGTGCAAATTTCTTTCAATTTTCTGCAAAAGCTTCCACCAAAATTTTAATTGCCAATTCACCCCCTCTTGGCCATATTCGTCAATCGATTAACTCAATAATTGATATCAGAGCCTAACTCATTTGAAGGTTTAATCGCCTCTTGAGTCGATTCGGGAAGAGTTACATCGATAATCAAAGTCATCAATGGCCTCTACTTCAAACTTCGACTCCGGTCTCGATTCGATGCCTGTCAACAAGTCTCCTTTCTTCAATGGGGCTAACTATGCCTATTGGAAAAATAGAATGATGTATATTCAATCAAGTGACATGGGAGCATGGAATGTCGTAGAAGAATGATACTTCAAGCCTCTCACTCATCCAAGATTATGGAGTGAAGGAGAGACAAAAATGTTCCAGCTCAACTCCAAAGCCATCCATATTATATTTTGTGCTCTTGGACCAGATGAATACGGAAGAGTTTCATCTTGTACAACCGCCAAAGAAATATGGGACAAACTTTAAGTCACTCATGAAGGTACCGATGACGTAAAGAAATCTAAAATTAGTATTCTAACGCATAGCTATGCAAATTTCAGGACGAAACCAAATGAAGATATCAAAGCTATGACGGATAGATTCTCAACGATTGTCAATGGTATCAAATCATATGGAGAGATCATTTCAAATGAAAAGCTTGTGAGGAAGTTAGTTTACTCCCTTCCAAAATCATGGCAATCAAAGAAGACGGCAATCATCGAGTCTAAGGATCTAACATCCTTAACTCTTGAAGAGCTAATCGGTTCACTCCTCACTCGTGAAATAATGCTTGAAGATGAGGTGGACCTCGATAAGATTGAAGAGACACCAAAGGAGAAGAATAATAAGAAAAACATTGGAGTTGCTCTCAAATCCACAAAAGATGAGAGTGATTCAGATGAAGATGACGAGGAAATGGCATTGTTTGCCAAACGGTTCAGAAAAATGATGAGACCTTACCGAGGGAGAAAATTCAAACGAAATGAATGCCTAAAAAATGAACCAAAAGAGAAGGACTCGATCATTTGCTATGAATGCAAAAAACTAGGGCATGTCAAATATGATTGCCCACAATTGAAGAGAAAGAGTCAATCAAAGAATAAGCACAAGGCTCATGTGGCTGCATGGAGCGATGAAGAAAGTTCCGATAAAGAGGAACAAGAAGTAGCAAACTTGTGCTTGATGATATTCGGGGATGATTCTAAGGTAACCTCTAACTCATCTGATTTTGATGATATATCCTATGATGAGCTATTAGAGGAATATAATAGGTTGGCTTCGGATTATAAGAAATTATTTTTAAAATATAAAAATGATGTTTCAAAATTAAAAAATGAAAATAAACTCATTTCCAAAACCAAAAATGATCTTGAAAAATGAAAAATGATGTTTCGGAATATAAGTGGTATTGGTAGGGTCCTTGGCTGTTGCTTAAGCTTTGAGTACGAAACTTTGGAAATGACCCTGAATCTATTACGGATTTAATTTCATTTATTTGTTCAGTGTTCTATGTTAATTGTAGGACACACGTCGGCCCTTAACAGCAGACAAGGAAAGAGCCTCTCCGGTAACGAACATTTGGGTCCTTGGAGTGCGGTAGATGTTGGGATTAGGCTATTCTACACTGAATTTAACTGATACCAACATATCAACTTAGGGTATTGAAGAATCTATAGAATACTTAGGTGTATATATCTTATTTAAAATTACGATATTTAATCGATTAATTCGATTGAAGATTGATTTGAATAAATTAAAATTAAATTAATCAATTTTTTTATAATTATTAATTAAATTAAATTATTTTAGAAATTTATTAATCGAATCAAATAATATTTGTCATTGATTGAATTAATCGAATTTGTCATAATTTTTTTATTAGATTAATTTGGGTTTAATTTTTTGTTCATATGAATTAAATTTTGATTGAAAGTTTAATGTAGTTACATGTGGAAAAAGAGACATGGTGACCAAGAGATGATTTGAAGGTAAACGACCTTGAATAAAGATGAGAAGCTATGAAAGAGGTGATTTTGTTTTACTAAATGTGAAAATGAACTACAAAATGCTTGAGTCTTTAACCAATTACAAACAATATTTATATAGCACCACCGAAACAAGTTTAACAGCTTGATCTAACAAACTAACCAACCTTTAACAAACTCAGTTAATTTTGACTAATTAAATACCAACTAATTACATTTTATTATATTATATTTCTAACATTAATGAAATGACCATCCAGCTCAGTTGGTAGAGCACAAGGTTCTTAACCTTGAGGTCGTTGGATCGAGTCTTACGGAGGGCATTTCATAATTTGGAGGTCTCCCACGGAAGATACTCTCAACCTGGTGTTAGGGCAGCCTACTATCTTACCTCCCCCTTACCCCATTACATATGAGAATAAGGGTCAGCTAATTTTATATTTCTAACATTACAAAATTTCTTAGTGTTGATTCTTAACCGGTCTAAGCTTAATATATATATATATAGAAATGACCATTCAGCTCAGTTGGTAGAGCACAAGGTTCTTAACCTTGAGGTCGTGAGATCGAGTCCCACGGAGGGCATTTCATAATTTGGAGGTCTCCCACGAAAGCTGCTTTCAACCTGGCGTTGGGGGCAGACTACTATCTTACCTCCCCTTACCCCATTACATATGGGAATATAGAAATAATCGATATATTCAATTAATCAATCGATTTTGAATCGAGTTGATCGATAATTAAACTCTAATTACTTGATCGATTAATCGAACTAAATTTTGATTCATTCAATTAATTCGATTAAAACCAAACAAAAACCCATATTAAAGATGGTATGAGGTAGGACCTATGTCTTGAATAACATGCAAATTAAACTAGTGTTCCCATTCAAATCTTTAAATAAAAAAATATTAAGCGCATATTTGATCTCACATCTTTTTATTTTACAATAACAACAACATCAATGAGTTAAATTGAAAGAATCATCTCATAATGTATTGTTGTAGTATCTATAATAGGATAAAATCCATCGGCTTGTTTATTACATATGAGTCTAATTAAGGTTAAAAGAAAAATTTAGAGTTATACAAACTCAATCATAATATATAATAATATAAAAGTATATTTAAAAAATGTTTTAAAATATTTTAAAATTAAATTAAATGATTGTGTGTGTGTATATATATATATATCAATTTTATAAATAAATACTTTTATTTAAAAAGGAAATTAATTGGGCCCAAATATTAACTAGAAAAGAAGCCTCACTCTGGTTGAATGCACCTAAAAGTGGTTGGAGCCTAATTCACACTTTGTTTTCTCTTTTTAAAACCCCATTTTCAAAGCTGAAGAAAAACCCTAGTGAAACACTTTGCCCTGAACTTTGAGTAGCGGCTGTTCAGATTCTGCCTATCCCCAGATTTTCTCTTTCAGGCAACCAATACACATTCCGAGATTTCCTACAGTTTTGTTTTCACTTATGGTGCCGATGTTTTTGTATCTTTGACGGATTATGTTTTAATTAACAGTTGAAACGATGTCTTCGGTTGGTGAAGCTGCTTGCTCTTACGCTGCTCTGATTCTCCATGATGATGGCATCCCCATTAACTTATCCTCTATGCATTTTCATTTGTTTGTGATTCCACGATTTATGATTCCAAATTTATTTTTATTTCTAATGGGATTTTTATTATTGATATTGAAATAAATAATTGCTGTTGCTCTGGAAGGTTGGTTTTTGCTAGTTTTCTTTTAACTTTTTCTAATAGGCTGAGAAGATTGCAACTTTAGTTAAAGCTGCAAATGTTTCCGTTGAATCTTACTGGCGGAGTTTGTTCGCTAAGCTTTTCGAGAAGTGCGACATAGAGAATCTTATAACCAATGTGGGTGCCGGTGGTGGCGGTGCTCCGGTTGCTGCTGCTGCACCTGTTGCAGCAGTTGGTGGAGGCAGTGCTGCTGCACCAGCTCCTGCTGAAGAAAAGAAGAAGGTTGGACGATTAATCACAAATGAATAGGCAGATGCATTTCATCATTTGTCATCATTTTTTCTGATATGTGATGTCTTTTTTGTAATTTTGCAGGAAGAGCCAGAGGAGGAGAGCGATGATGATTTGGGATTCGGTTTGTTTGATTAGAAAGATCATTTCAGTTCCTGTTTTAGTTACATTACTGGGTTAATGCATTAAACTTTGACAGTCGTTGTTTTGGGATTTATTTGTATTAGTATTTGTCTGTTTTGATTAATCTTCTTTTGAGAATTGTATGTTTGAATCTTTTTGTGTACATACAAGTCTTCTGGACCAAATTTTGCCATCTTTTACGAGTAATGGATTGATGTTTTGTTCCATTGCAATGTATGATTTGGTGCTTAGTTTGCTGTTTCGATCCAGAGTTGCGAGTATCGAATTGTGCTTTTCATACCCATGCTTAAATGTGATAATATGCATATCCTGCGCAAAAATGCGGACTGTATTTTGGTATTGTTGTTTATTGTTAATCGTTCTTGTTGTTTTGGTAAAATGTTCCAGAGTAATTGTTTGCAATGATGCTTGGTGGGTGTAGAACGTTGAATGGAATTCGACAATCTTTGTCTGTTGCATTTGTACATTTTTCATGTGTTGCAGACTTGTTCCTCTCTCCCCGGGTGCTTCATTTCATCTGCCTCGGGGTTTCTGCCTCATAGCAGAATGTATAAACCAATTACGATTGAGATTATCCGATGAAGCTGTTCATCGGCATCGAGTTGTCGATAGAAACCATGTAAATATTTGGGTATTAGCAATATCTTAGGTAATGAGGGTTTGTAGTAGATAACCTTCCTATGGAGAAATCAAACATGGCTTTAAATAAATTGAACATATTTATGCATAGGCAAATGATGTGTAGAAATGGCAACAACAAAGCTCCATTGCCCACACCAGTTCATCTCCAGCAATAAGGTCATGAGTTTGAAGCACAACTTCCAAAATCTCAACACTATTGAGCTCTAGGTATTCATTATCATCGTCACTATTGTATCTGTGGATTATTGGTGAAAGTGGAGACTGGTCTATTCAAGCAAAGAAAATGTAGATGAGTGGTGACAGACAAGACCTCAACATTCGTTTAGGCCACATGTAGATTACCAAATGGAGTAGACGAAGATCACAATCTCATGCATGTTAGACAGTACAGTTTGCCTATATATTTTGGCATAGTGTCAAAAATAGCCCTCAATGTTTATCAAAATAATCATTTTGGCTCATTTTTTTAGCATTTTGGCCCCAAAGTTGCATTTTAGGACAAAAACTCTCTTTATAGATGAAAATTATTAGTTAACAAACGATTAATATTCCAAAAGATAAGTTTTTTTAACCTAAAATAAAATGTTGAGGGTTAAAATACAAAAAAAAAGACAAAGTGATTATTTTGTCAAATGTTATGACCTTTTTACTCTATATTGAAACATTAGGGATCAAAATCTTGTAAAAAATAAAATAAGGTGTAAAGAATCATTTTGATAAACATTGTAATTCAATTTTGATATTATGTCATATTTTTTTAATTACGTTAGGGATGAACCAAATCCCATATGATTAAGATTGATTGATGGATGAAATTACTCAGTAGGATGGACAAGAAGGCAAAGCGAAGATAAATTATTAAAAAAATATAGAAAATATATAATAATTTAAAAAATTTAAAGGTATCAATCTTGGTCGTTTTCTTGATTAATTCATCTTAGTACGAATTTAATAGAAAATTATTATTTTTTGAATAGTCTAGGATAATATATATTCAATTTTTTTTAACTATTTAATAATATATTCACATTTTATGCACGAATTCCAGTGACCTCGGTGGTAAATGAATTGTAGTTATTTTTTTACATTCTGGGTTCGAGTACTAACAACGTTCAGAAGTATGAGCGTTCAATGTCGAATGATTGAAAATCATCTTTAAATAAATATTACCTTATATTTATCATGAGAAATTAATATATATATATATATATATATATATTATATACAGAAATGACTGTCCAACTCAGTTGGTAGAGCACAAGATTCTTAACCTTGGGGTCGTGGGATCGAGTCCCACGAAAGATATTTCATAATTCGGAGGTCTCTCACGGAAGCTACTCTCAATCTGGCGTCGGGAGCAACCTACTATCCTACCTCCCTTACCCTACCATATATGAAAATAAGGGTTAACTAATTTATATATATAATACACAACTATTTAAACTTAAAAATCGTTGAAGAAAAAATATCACCTTTTTTATGATTGAGATCGCCTGATAAAAGAACAAGTATATAATGAGAATTTGATTCTCAAGTTGCGGGGGAATGTATTAGAGATATTATATCACGTGCTAGAGCAGCAGATCTAGATTTGGCTGTCATTGTATTATTGAAAATAATTTAAGGTTCTGCTTAATCGGTATTTCCTCGAGGGTTATGAAGTTATGTGTAGTGCTGCAAACTGTTTATATTTAGTATTTTTTAAATTGATTTATTTTTTATTTTTAGTTTTTTATATTTATTTTATTTAAAATAATCTAATAATTATTTATATTTTTATGCTTTAATTTTACATATTTTTTTAGTTTTGTTTAAAAGAAAATTAAATGATTTTATGATTTTTTTAAAGAATAATTAATTAGACCTTAGAATTATATCAAAAAAATAATTAAATATTTCTATTTAATCATCATTCATCGTAGACTATAATATCAATATTATAGATCATCACGTCAATGCCATGAATCATCACGTCAATGCCATGAATAATTACATCAACACCGTAAATTGTTACGTTAATATCATAACAATCAAGATCCAAATCAGTTAGTGAAAGGATAAATTAATTCTTTTCCTCAGTTTACAAAAGTAAGTTTGGGTTGAAGTAACTTTTCTTAAAAAATATGAAGAGCTTTATATACCATTAAGTAAAAAAATCAATTAAACATTTTTTGGCAAATCATCATCGGTTATAAACTATCACGTTAACATAAAAATCATCGTATCATCTTCATAATGATCGACATCTGATTTTATTAGGGTAAATTACACAAATGACCTCCTAATTATATGATATTATTTTGTTGAATTCCTGAATATTGAAAGTTACAAAATGGTCCCTTGACTATAGGGAGTTATTTTGTTGAGTCTCTTCATTATTAAAAGTTACAAACGGTCACCCTACTATTCGTTATGTTCTAAACTCATCATTTTCTGTTAAAAAATTAACAGTAGTATGGGTTGGACGTTAACATGTAGATTGAGATATGATAAAATCTCACGACTATCGTATCTTAGTCAACATGTTAATGTCTAACTCAAATGATCGTTAGTTTTTAACGAAAAAAGATGAGTTTAGAATATAATGAATAGTCTTGTGATCATTTTGTAGCTTTTAATAGTCGACGAACTTAATAAGTTAATTCTCTAGTTGAGGGACCATTTTGTAACTTTTAATAATTGAAGACTCAACAAAGTAATATCTTGTAATTAGAGGATCATTAATGTACTTTACCCTTTTGTTAATTACAGAGTCAAATTGTTTTTTTTTAAATTTAGAAGTTATAATAAATTTAGGACCACAATAAATTTTCTAAAAGAATTTGAAGGACTCATACCTTTTTATTATATCTTATTGCATAATCGTAAGTGGATCTAAAAACATAACATCTGCCATAGAGAAGTCTACCCATTCTCTTTCCTATTTTTGTTGTGGTGTTACCTTTGAGTGGACAAATGAAATTTTCCATATTTTCTCCTCAATATCGTTCTCTTTAGCTACAATCCCTTTCCTTTCCCTCCATTCCCCTTCTCTCAATCTCAATTCACAAAGTTAATTGTCTATTCTTTTTATGTCGTTGGTTCCTTAGGAAAAGGGTCTAGTTCCAATCTTCGAAGGATTGAAATTGAAGGTGAGTTCCGGGATTGGTTCCACTTTTCCTCAATACCCTTTCATTGCATTGTCTCCATTATTTGTTTTCTGGCATTGGCTTCCTTAGAATTGTCAAGAAAAAAAAGGGTTAGTTGGAATCGTTAACGTGAATTCGTTCTGTTTGCATTGATCTTTCAAGGGAAAATCTGTATGTTCCTTTATTTTCTGGCATTAGGTTCCCTGGAATTATCAAAAAGAAAAAAGGGTGTTGTTACAATCTTGAATTTGTTCTCTTTGCATTGGATTTTCTAGGAAAAACTATATTTCCCTTCATTTTCTGGTTTTGGGTTCCTTTAAATTTTGAAGGAAAAGGGTTTAGTTGGAATCTCGAGGAGAATTGAAGTGTTTTGCATGAGAATATGTCCATACCAAAGGAGTTAGAGCAAGTGATGAAAACGAGAGGGGGCTCGGTGTTGGGAAAAAAGACAATTCTCAAGAGCGACCATTTCCCTGGATGCCAAAACAAGCGATTATCTCCCCAGATCGATGGTGCCCCCAATTACCGTCAGGTTCTTTACCTTTACTCTTCATTTTTATGTATGTGTGTATGTGTGTATGTATGTACATCTAATTGAATTCTTTCCTTTTCTTTTATCAAAAAAAAAATTCTTGCCTTTTCACCCGGATTTCTTCATTACTCCTTGTAGTTTCTTATCTATATAAATGAGGGGTTGGAAGATATCTTCTCACTGTTTAAAGAGAAAAAATGATTAGGCAATCAAGAATTACATAGGAGTTATGTTTTAAGGTTGTATTGGCCCTCAAGCTGTATTGGTGAATAGGTTCATGTCCTTGCTCCTTTACTGAATTGCTCATGTTGAATATTGCTTAGATTTACAAAATGGGGTACTATTCTGATAGGTGCTATCGAATTTCACTGTTCACAGTTTACTGTGCCCTTAGTTTTTAACTGTTATAGTTTGTATGTCTTTAAAATTTTGGTTATGATGCAGATGATGTTTTGGGTACTTAATTGATTATCCCTTCGAATTGATAACTCTTATTTATGGCATGATCTATTTTGTTAAATTTCATATTATTTTTTGATCCTTTTTCTTTGCCTTATATTTTGATATGCTAATAACAGGCAGAGTCATCGCGTGTTCATGGTGTGGCAATTCCAACCATTGTTGGAATTCATAACGTTCTTAAGCATATTGGTGCCCAAAAGGATGGGAAGCAAGCACATGTTCTTTGGGTTAATCTTCGAGAGGAACCGGTAAAATGATGTCTCATCAATTGATTTCTGTTTTTTAATAAGTGTATGGACAGACTGCTACATTTTGATGACATCTGGGATATTTGCTTGACTACTGAAAACATGGTTACTTAATAATTTCTGAGAATTGGGAGAAAAATAAAAGTTTGATTGACAGAACTACTGATGTACTGAAGGTAAGATGATATGGAAGCATAATAGTCAATCACTTGAAACAAGTAAAAAGCCTAATACGAAAACTAAATGCCCACCAGGTAACCTAAAAGAGTAAAGAAAAAGGAAATGGTGAACAACCGTGACTCAGCTGTACCTGCTTCATCTTGTAAACAATTATCCTCTGATGCATTGTGTTGACACCAGTTGCCATAGACGCTAGGGCAACTAGTAAATTCAAAGGTTGTAAAATGTAACCTAAAAAAATTGCCTTTAATCCATACCAAACAAGGTTTCCTTTTTCATATATTTGATAAATCAACTTGGAACTAAGGCCTCTACTACACCATGCTCCCATCCTCTTAAAAAGGTTTCTTTGCCAATAGAAAAACATGTCTTGTTGCTTATTTTGTATGTTGTTGGTGATGATAAAATTGAAATATAATACATGCATTCATTATTCACTAGAAACCCTATGAACTTGATTGTGGTGCGAATGTGTTTTACATAAACATTTTAAGAGTTTGTGAATTGCCGAATTTGATTATTCTAATATTTATATAATTTTTTTGTGCTTAATAGGTTGTGTATATTAATGGACGTCCCTTTGTTTTACGCGATGTGGAAAGGCCCTTCTCCAACCTTGAATATACAGTATGTTTGCATTGTGAAGAGTTTTTACTTTAGTCGTGTCCAAATTATTAGAGAAACTGTAACTAAAATTACAGTATCTACTCACTACGTACTGTGCATTTGTGTGCGCATACTAAAGGCCTGCTGAAATATACCATTTATGTTTGTTTTATAGGGAATCAACAGAGACAGAGTTGAGCAAATGGAAGCACGATTAAAGGAAGATATTCTGTTGGAAGCTGCTAGGTATTTCCTTTGGTTGCATATTTTGTTTATCATTACTTGTAAATGTTCATTTGCTGTCTTTATGAATGGTTGCCCTACTTTGCATGATAGCAAACTTTATTTGGAAATACGACATTGCAGATATGGAAATAAGATCCTTGTCACCGATGAACTTCCAGATGGTCAGATGGTGGACCAGTGGGAACGAGTATCCTGTGATTCTGTGAAGACACCTCTAGAGGTATAAGCTTTGAAAAATAAGAAAATATGCAGATCTGCCTAAGTTTGAACTACTCTATCAAACTCATTTTTGGGTGTTCTGCTGGTGTAGGTGTATGAAGAATTGCAAGTCGAAGGATACTTGGTTGACTATGAGCGTGTGCCTATAACAGATGAAAAATCACCGAAGGAACTCGATTTTGATATTCTGGTGAGTTCCATGTTATTGGCCTTATTTTGAATAATTAAGTTTTTGTTTTCTTTGAGTCATCCTCCTCCCACTTTGTTATGTCCTACTTTTCTTCATATATAACTTAGGGTAATATGGACATCTCTATTTTATTCAGTTTTGGTCTTGGATAGACTGCTTGGAAATTAGTGGATACTATTGATCTCTTTTTAGCTCAGTGACTTGCATAAAAAGACATATTGAACTCATTCAAAAAGGACATGTACAGCTAAAGAAGTAAGCCTACCAACTTATGTGTTTTTGCATGATGACACGGTGATTCAAAACCTTGTTTTTTAATTTTAAACAAACGATTATCATAGAAGCGCCCATATTTGGTGTTCAGAGTTAGAGATGGAAGCATTGAATGACCATGGCATTATGTGTCTATTTGATAAAATTCTAAAATCATTAGTTTGATGGTTGTAATATCTCAATTATCTGCAAGAAGCCAATCTTGTGGTTTATGATTATTATATATGTAGCATTAACATCCCAAAATTGCACTGTTCTAATAATGTATAACATTCTCTCTTTATTTTTTTCTGTGTCCAGGTTCATAAAATTTCTCAAGCTGACATAAGCACAGATGTTGTTTTTAATTGTCAAATGGGACGGGGAAGAACGACTACTGGCATGGTGATTGCGACTTTGGTTTATCTCAATAGAATTGGAGCATCTGGTATTGTTGTCTCTTTATAATTTTAATGCAACTCAAAAAATTAAATACTCATTTTCCCACTATTTATGATGTTCCTGTTATCAACATAAATTTCATTACACTTTTGGGATATTCAGATCTTTTTATGCTTGAATTTTCTCATTTAGTATCTTTCATTAATAGGCCATTATCTGAATCTAGTCTAACTCTTACTCTTTACACGAATATCTTTACCAATTCACATGGGATTTCTCATCTTTTTGCAACAAATCAAATCTAACCCGAGCGCAAATTGTCCTTGAATGTCTAGAGAGAGAGAAAAAAGCTTTCTTGTATAAAATATTTTTAACTACTTAATTTAGTCAATAATATCATGATTCTTGGAGAGCAATTGTTGAGTCTTCTCTCCTCAGAACATTTTGTGTTAGATTGAATACTTTTTAACAATTTATGACTAGTAGAATTCTCATGCATTGAAGAGGTATAAAAATTGCCAAGGGTGCAGTAAAGATTGGCAATTTATGAACTTGAATGGACTTGTTATATAGCTATGTGTTTTCTTATCATTTTTCTGTTATTTGCCTTGTGGACATTAGATATATCATCTATTATGAAGCAAAACTAGTTTGTTTGATTTCAAGTATGATGGTCTCTGCTCCTGTTTTTAAACTTTTTTGGATTGAAAGGTTACCATTATTAGGAGTTAAGGGTAAGGCGCTGTCCATTGGAGCCATTTAGTAACTATAATAACATTGAGAGAGAAGTTGTCATTGACTACATTGGTATGGATGGTTGACTTCAACTTGAAAAGAAGAAAAACTTTGTGAATTATGAAGCTATCCTCTCCTCTTTGGAAAGGTTTTCATGAATCTATGTTCCTTGATTAAAGAGTCTATAATGAAGCTGCAACAGAGGGGCACAAAATCCTTTCGATTAAATTTGTGGAAAAAAAACATGCCTGATGGTTCTCCAGATTATAGTGAAGTTTCTAGGAACCTCTTCGTTTACATCAAATTTATTACTTGTTTTATTCGTTGAACTGCTTCATGTGTATAATGTGAATCTATAGCTGCTTGCGGTGTAACTTATTCTGATTTCTAATGATTTTATATCTAATGACATAGGCATTACAAGAAGCGATTCAATAGGCAAAGTTTTTGATTCTGGTCCTAATATCACTGACAATCTGCCCAACTCTGAGGATGCAATTCGTAGAGGTGAATATGTAGTCATTAGAAGCCTGATTCGGGTCCTAGAGGTATTAAATACCATTACTTATTCTTGGTTGATTCTTTAATATTCTCTTTTGGTTTTTTTTCTCATCAAATAGTGAAATTCCTTTAGGGTGGTGTGGAAGGGAAAAGACAAGTGGACAAGGTCATCGATAAATGTGCTTCCATGCAGGTATGGCTTTCTATGTGTCCATTCTATTCAGACTTGCTCTAAATTAAAGTCTTCTTTGTAATAAAACTTCTGCTGACCAGACGATTGTCGTAATTCCTTCCTAGTTGATATTTTATGGTCTTTATCTGCAAGGCCTATCAAGTTTTTCCACAGGTGCATACAACTCACTGATGTTTTTCTTTAAATGTTGATACAGAACTTAAGAGAAGCAATTGCCACTTATCGCAATAGTATCCTTCGTCAGCCGGATGAGATGAAGAGGGAAGCAGCGCTTTCATTTTTTGTGGAGTACTTGGAGAGATATTACTTTCTAATATGCTTTGCTGTATATATCCATTCAGAGCGGGCATCTCTCTGTTCTGGTTCCTTTGATCATACAAGTTTTGCTGATTGGATGAAGGCAAGGCCAGAGCTATATAGTATTCTTCGCAGGTATAGATATTGATAGAAGTGTTATATGAAGTTTCCTCTCATAGTTTCAGGAACTTATGATGAAGCATTTCAGATACTGATTTTACATTATGAATATTGAAGTGGTTGCTCGAGTCTAATTGAACTTCAAGACTGAATCTAATTCAGCCATTTGATGTTGAGTTGATATGGATTAGCCAGCAATAAGTTTTTTCACCCAACCCTATTTTTCTCTCATAGTTTCTTTCAGGGAATTGTTTAGTAAAGAATGGAAAGGGCAAATACACTTATAGCATCTCAATGTGATTATAAAATTATGTTGGGCTGCATGGCTAAAGTTCTTTTTCTTACCTTTAGTGGATTCTAAATTTGTTGTCAATTAATTTTTAAAAGAGAACCATGCAGCCATCTTTGACAATGTATTGTTTCAGGTTGCTTCGGAGGGATCCAATGGGTGCACTTGGATATGCAAATCTGAAGCCATCTTTGACAAAGAGTGCGGAATCTGCTGATCATCGCCCTCATGAAGTGGGTGCAGTTGCAGCTGTGAGGAAAGGAGAGGTTCTTGGGAGCCAGACTATCCTTAAAAGTGACCACTGTCCTGGTTGTCAAAGTGTAAGCTTACCAGAGAGAGTAGAGGGTGCTCCTAACTTCAGAGAGGTTCCTGGGTTTCCTGTTTATGGAGTTGCAAATCCAACTATTGATGGAATTCGATCTGTCCTTCAAAGGATTGGTAGCTCCAAAGGTGGTCGTCCAGCTTTTTGGCACAATATGCGGGAAGAACCTGTCGTTTACATTAATGGAAAGCCATTTGTTCTCCGTGAGGTTGAAAGGCCCTATAAAAACATGTTGGAGTACACGGTAAATTATTTTTATTTGTTACATAATAAAATTTTGTTAAGGATCCGTGTGGTAGAGCTTTGGGCACAGAAGGAGCTCTACAGATGTTTCAGATCATTGTATGACTTTTACTTAAAGTAGCATAGCTACTTATTCTTTTCTCATTTTCATCATATTTATGTGTTTAAATGAATGTAGTCAATTTTTGTGGTAAATAATTTACATATCTATGCTTAACATGGCACCGTTACTTGTTTATTTGCTGTGTGCTATTTTTTTGAATCCCTCTGCTCCATCTGATTTGGTAGCAAAGGGCCAATTGGCACTGGAGTCTAAGTTGGTTTCTGCATTCAGGGGATTGATCGTGAGAGAGTAGAGAGAATGGAAGCTCGGTTGAAGGAAGATATCCTGAGAGAAGCTGAACATTATGAGGGTGCCATAATGGTCATTCATGAAACAGAGGATGGTCAAATATTTGATGCTTGGGAACATGTCAACTCCAATTCTGTACAAACTCCTCTAGAGGTTTATAAAAGCTTAGAGGAGGATGGTTTTCCCATTAAATATGCTCGTGTGCCCATTACGGATGGAAAAGCTCCTAAAAGTTCTGACTTTGATAGACTGGCTGCAAACATTGCTTCTGCTTCAAAGAATACTGCTTTTGTATTCAATTGCCAGGTATTTCATTTTGAAAATGTCTTCGAATGCTATATGAATTTGAATATGCTTGTTAAGTTTTTCTTTTTGCTCTTTTTCATGCTCTCACCTAAATGTGATTGTTCCCTTTATTTTCATAGATGGGAAGAGGGAGGACAACAACCGGTACTGTAATAGCTTGCCTTGTGAAGCTTCGTATTGATTATGGGAGACCAATTAAAGTTCTGCATGATGAGGTTAACCATGAACAAGCAGATGGGAGCTCCTCTAGTGGTGAAGAAAGTGGAAGTGATGCAACTAGATTGACCTCTGCTGCTGTTAAAGTTAGAACTAAAAATGAGCAAGGTCGTGCATTTGGCATTGATGATATCCTACTTTTGTGGAAGATAACAAGATTATTTGATAATGGGGTGGAGTGCCGTGAGGTCTTAGATGCTATTATTGATAGATGTTCGGCACTACAGAACATACGACAAGCAGTTCTGCACTACAGGAAGGTGTTCAACCAACATATTGAGCCAAGGGTGAGGAGAGTAGCTCTGAACCGTGGAGCTGAGTACTTGGAGCGGTACTTTCGTTTAATTGCTTTTGCTGCATATCTTGGAAGTGAAGCATTTGATAGGTTCTGTGGACAAGGAGAATGTATGATGACATTTAAGAGTTGGTTGCATCAGAGACCAGAGGTTCAAGCAATGAAATGGAGTATAAGATTAAGGCCTGGGCGATTTTTCACTGTTCCTGTAATCTTCCTCTCTCTCTCTAGAATCAAGTGAAAAGCTTAATCTACACAATTTCCCTAATATTACCACATTTTGATATTTTTATCCCTTGTTTTGAATATGCTTGTTTAACTTATTTTGGTTTTTAAATGGAGGAGGAGTTAAGAGCACCGCATGAATCGCAACATGGAGATGCTGTTATGGAAGCCATTGTAAAGACACGGAATGGTTCTGTTTTGGGGAAAGGCTCTATACTTAAAATGTACTTCTTTCCTGGTCAGAGAACTTCCAGCCACATCCAAATTCATGGTGCACCACATGTTTTTAAGGTATGCTCAAACGAAAAATAACGATCTTCAGATTGGTATACCATAAGGCCATTTAATTGTTTAGGTCCCTCTGGCATAGGTATACATTTATCATTCCCCTATTTGTTTTAAAATTTATTTTTTAATCATTGTTCATATGACGGGAATATTTTTTGTTAAATCTATCTTTTACATTACAGTAAACATGTGTGTATATTCCCTTTTTCAAGAATCCATTCCACTCTCCCCATGTTAGTATAGTTCAGTGCCTCTCATCCTATCTTGAATTATAGGTGTCAAACTTATACAATTAGCATGCATTGTCTTGGTCCTAAGTTTTATAATGATTAAACATTTGCAAACCCTTATATTAATTCATTTGAACCTGTATATTCAGGTGGATGGATACCCTGTTTATAGCATGGCAACACCGACAATTATTGGTGCCAAAGAGATGCTTACATATCTAGGTGCCAAGTCCATTGCAGGAGTTGATGGTAAGAAAGTGGTGGTAACTGATCTTAGAGAAGAGGCAGTTGTGTACATTAATGGCACGCCATTTGTACTGAGGGAGTTAAATAAGCCTGTCAATACCCTTAAGCACGTTGGAATTACCGGGCCAGTGGTATGTCGTCTTAACTTTTGGTTTACGTTTTGTGGAAAGTTATTTAGTACCATTACTTCAGATGATTTCATAAATTGTGAAAAATGATGCAGGTGAAACACATGGAGGCACGACTAAAGGAAGATATATTGTCCGAGGTTAGACAATCTGGTGGTCGAATGCTTTTACATCGTGAAGAATTTAGTCCATTGACAAATCAGTCCAGTGTTGTAGGATACTGGGAAAACATCTTTGCTGATGATGTGAAGACAGCTGCTGAAGTATATGCTGCTCTAAAAGATGAGGGCTATAATATAGAATATAGGAGGATTCCATTAACTAGAGAGAGGGAGGCTTTAGCTTCTGATGTGGATGAAATCCAGAACTGTCTAGATGTGTAAGTGCACGTGTCTCCAGCTAGTGCTTCGTTCATCAGTCTATTGAAGTTATTCCTGCAAAGTTTTTGTTGTATCTGATTCTGCCAGCATTAAATCATTTTGTATCACAGTTATTCCTTTTTCGCTCAAAGGAACTTTGATTGTGGATGTGTTCTAAAGTTCCTTAAATTAAAGCATTTTGTTGAAGCTGTAATTATGTCTTCTACAGCTCCTCAGATTGTTACCTTTATGTATCACACACTGGATTCGGCGGAGTTGCATATGCAATGGCAATCATTTGCTGCAGACTGGATGCAGTGGTGAATGTCAGTACATCCACTGCACAATCATTGGGTGATGCACATCGACATTCTACAGCTGAAGACAACATGTCATCCTGGACTTCTGATGAAGAAGCACGAAGGATGGGTGATTATCATGATATACTAAGCCTTACAAGAGTTCTCATGCATGGTCCCAAAAGCAAAGCAGATGTTGATATCATTATCGAAAGGTCCGTCTCATTTTCCCCCTTTTCCGCCTTTGTTTAGATATTAAAGAATCAAAATGAAGATCATCTTCTCACCCTTTTTCTTTTTCTTCTTCTCCCTGGAATCAGTTGAACACGCCCTTTCTTTTGCTTCTTTAATTTTCTTTTTTATTTCAAGGCTTTTATTTTGTTTCATATTTTGGGTGATCATTTTTTTCCCTGCCCCTAGTCATTTAACATCCTTACTTATCGGCTTTTTTAACCCTTTAATGGTGATGAGTTTCTTCTGTTCTTTTGTGAAGGTGTGCTGGTGCAGGGCATTTACGAGATGATATCCTTCATTACAGTAAGGCACTTGAGGAGGTCCGTAATGATGATGATGAGCATCGAGCATGCATCATGGATATGGGCATTAAGGCTATGAGGTTAGTTCTTCTTGTATAGTTCCACAGCAAAAATTTGATTTAACTGACTTCATCAAGTAGCTTGCCCGTTAGTGTTTTTGTTTCGATTGATGGGTTCAACTAAAACCAACTTGAAGGCCATGGTCCTGGTTTTAGTCGAGTTTCTCGAATGCTGTTAGGTTGTTGCTGCTAAGATTTGAAACATAATAGGGTTTGCTTTTCGTGTTTAGTAAACTTGTCTGTTTATATTTGCAGGCGTTACTTTTTCCTCATCACGTTCCGGTCGTACCTATACAGCACATCTCCAACTGTGATGAAATTCACAACTTGGATGAATGCAAGGCCAGAATTACGACATCTCTGTAATAATCTTAGAATCGACAAGTAGATTCGACAGATTATAATGATCCTCAACATTCAAATGTATGTTTGTACGCATGTGTATGTATGTATGATGTATAGGTTTCAACGCCGGTCATAGCCTTTCCCTTTATGATTGATTGCTATAACACACAAAGAGGGTTGTTATAGTTTTATCTTGAGCTTTCATCACTCGGCCGGTGATGTTTAGAAGCCTTTTTGCCGGAGCTTAGCCGACGTAAAAGTTCACAGGGTCATATAAGTTTACAAATTAAGTAGTAAACTGACCCAAATGTATTGTATTCGGTTAGAAATTCAGACTGCAAGAGTCTTGTTCTTGTTTTTATTTTTCCAGTTATAGAATTGTACTCGTATTTCCTTTCAGCTTTGTAATATTGCACAAATTTTGTCCTGGCCTAAAGCCTAAACCTGAGCCCAAGTTTTAAACTCAGCTTAGTCTTCACCTGATTAGCCTAAACTTAACTGAAATAAATCTGGTAGTCCATCTATAGGGTGTTCAACTGTTCATTTGGTTAATTTGATTTGCGGTCGAATTAAATTACTCCAAAATTGAATTAATTGATTTTTTTTAAACGTTAGACGAATAAGTTTTTCTTAAATGTTTTATTCAAATTGAATAAAGTTTGGTTAATTCAATTGGTTTTTGAATTCATTTAAACTTGTTTAGATTAATTTTTGTTTAACATGGATATTTTTTTATTTAGGTTAAAAAATAGTTCGATCTTGATTTCTAATGGATCTGATATGATTAAAACATTATTCGATCTTGATTTTTAATTGGTTTGGACGTACTATTATATATAATATTTAATATTTTTAATTACTTCGATTAATTCAATTAAAATCAACTAATAATGCTCCTATTTTTATATATCCCAATCTAGTCAACCTAAAATGTTTCGACCGATCCTATTCTCAACTTCCACCACAATTACTGTGCATCAAACCTCCAGTATCTCTGAATTCTGGGGCAACCTACCCACCAAAAACTTCATTTTAAATGGAGGAGGGGGCAGATTAAGGGTTAGCAATAGATTGGAATACTTATGGAAAAAGTGCTGTTGCCACGGAATATTTAATGGAGTATCTTTTTCCACCACAATTACTGTGCATCAAACCTCCAGTATCTCATGGAAGACACGTGTAGGTTGAAATACCGACTGTTTTGTCCGAAGCTGAACAAAATCCCACATCGAGGAGGCATCAGGCCACGACCTTACTTGAACGGGATCTGTTCTATAGGCTCGTACCTCTGTATCCTTGAGTTCTAAGGAGACAGGTTTCCGAGTCTGGTTGATGAACCGTGGCTGTGCGATTAGAGCGTGATTAATGGTCTGGTGGCTCAGTGTTGTCTCACCTTAACCGCGGAGGATCGTTCGCAGCTTGCCTTGTCTTGCTGGGGTGGTCGCGCAGCTGTCTGACAGACTCCCCCACCTTGTCCTTTTTTTTTCATTTTTTCACTCCAAATTTTTTAAAATTATAAGTTAATATATATTTTACATATTTTATTTATATTTTCAATTAATAATATATTTTTATCTCTTATAATTTTATAAGTTTATCTTTTTTAAAATTTTATAAATCTACTCATCCTAAAATAATATCCTGCGTCCATCAATATTTTTTAACATCGCTAAAAAGATAAGAAAGTTAAAACCATCATTCATTTTGTTTAAACTGGTAGCTGACGCCTCACTGCTTGCAAAGATGGTTACTGTCCGTTAGTCTACTATCGGATTATGACACATTAAAGTCAAAATACAATTAAAAAAAATATATTTTTCAAACTTTTGTTTATATTTATATTAAAGTATATGTATTTATTTTTATTATTTAATTAGTATGTGAATTATTTCTAGATTTAACATAATATTAATGTTTAATTTTGGTTTCATGATCTCAACTTAAAAATGTAAATAATAATAATAATCCAAATAACTATGCCATGCCCACCAAATCAACCCGTTTGGCAGTTAGTATTCTAATAATTCGGGAATGGTTGTGGAAGCTGCCATATCTCAATGCCAATGCTTTCACATGCATTGATATCAGATTCGATCTAATGCGGATGAACAAGTTTGAATATTTTTATATAATTATTTTATTTATTTAAATTTATGTAATTATAATATACATAGATTTGAATATTTTAATTATTTCATAAAATAAAGAAAGAAAATCATCGAAGGATGTGAGGGAAATGATGTATAAATCTCGACACTCGAGCAAATGCGGATCCACTCAACCCCTAAAAATCAAGTGCATATAAATTAAGTTTTGGAAAACTTTATTAAGACAGATTTGTTTTCCTTCCCAGTCATCAACATGTCTAAAGCCCGTCAATTCCTACACAGATTTGTCGGTGTTTCATCCTTAAAAAACAATGGCGACGGTGCCATTGGAGCCTATATATATATTATATATTCTCCATCTTCTTTAACACTTTTCACCATATATTTTTTCATTTTTTTCTTAGTAGAATAGCCATCCCCCGCCCTTCTATGGTCAGAAGGCTACCGACCACCAACCTCCGCCTCTTCAGCCGACGTCTTAACACCGTCTCCTCCTCCTCCTCCTCCATTGCCGCCGGTTCGCGTCTCTCAAAACCCGAACCGGCCGCGCCGACGATCGTCGACCTCGATGATCCCCGAAAGCTTTTCTCATCCGTTTCGACGTCGAAGTTTCTGCGTTCCTTGGTCAACCTAGGGTTGGTCGCGAACGAGACGTTTGTTGATTTCGGGATGTGGGTTATGAATTCCAGGCTCGTGGAAACAACTTTGGTACGTGATGTTATATTGAAGACCGTGAAACATACGATGTTCGAGCATTTTTGTGCCGGCGAGACGACCGAGGAAGCCGGCCAGTGCGCAAGGAAGATACACGAAGCCGGTTTGCGAGGGATGCTCGCTTACGCCGTCGAGCATACGAGCGATAACAACACCTGCGATCGGAATTTGGAAGGCTTTATTCGCAGCGTCGACTTCTCCAAGTCCCTTCCACCTTCTTCTGTAAGTTTTTCTTATCTTTTGCCTTAACAATGAAATCTTAGAGTCAAACTTTAATGGAGTTTTTAGCTATTCAAATGGAGTTATTAGGGTCAAGCTTTAATGGAGTTTCTTAAAAAGGAAAATTAGCTCTTTAATTAGTTGCTTAAAAGACAATAAAGTTATAAATTAATCCAATAAAACTTATAAATTGGCCCTCATATTTATGAATTTATAGTAAAATTCGATTTGAAAAAATTAAAATTTTCAACTCAATTTAAAAATTTCAAATAAAGTTCAAGTTATAATATATGATTTGAGTAACTCAAAATATTTAATAATTAGTATCATAATATTATAAATATTTATAATTAAACTTAAATAAAAACTTAGACAGTTTATCGATTAATTCGAATTTTTTTGACTAAAAATAATTACATACTCACCCTTATTCACTCTACAGGTAAGCTTTGTGATTGCAAAAATAACAGCAATATGTCCCATAATCCTTCTAAGAAGAGTCAGTGACTTACTCCGATGGCAATACAAAGACCCATCGTTCATTCTCCCATGGAAGCTCAACACTCTTCCAATTTTCACCACCACAACCCCTCTTTACTACACACTAAAAAAACCCCAACCATTAACACCCCAAGAAGAACACGACCTCGATTGGCCCACAAGAGGCTCCAAGTTCTCTGCCAGAAATGCGTCGATCTCAACATTCCGTTAACGATCGATGCCGAGGACACATCGTTGCAACCCGCCATCGATTACTTCACCTACTCCTCGGCAATTATGTACAACAAAGATGGTAACGCCATCGTCTACGGCACGATCCAAGCTTACTTGAAAGATGCGAAGGAGAGGCTGTTTACTGCGTCTAAAACGGCCGATAAACTCGGCATCCCGATGGGGTTTAAGCTGGTGAGGGGTGCTTATATGTCGAGCGAGACGAGAGTGGCTTCGAGATTCGGCTTTGACTCGCCGATTCACGACAGCATCGACAAGACTCATTCGTGTTACGACGAATGCGCCTCGTTCATGCTGGAGAGGATCGCGAACGGCAACGATGCGGTCGTGCTTGCAACTCATAATCTTCAGTCGGGGAAACTTGCCGCATTGAAAGCACGGAATATGGGGATTCGAAAGGGGAATCCCAAGCTGGAATTTGCTCAGTTGTATGGATGTCAGAAGCTTTATCGTTTGGTCTGAGAAATGCAGGGTTTCAAGTGAGCAAATATTTACCCTATGGACAAGTGGATATGGTGATGCCGTATCTTTTGAGGAGAGCCGAAGAGAATAGAGGATTGCTATCTACTTCAAGTATCGATAGAGTTCTCATGTGGTAATCTATTCCTTTTAGGGTTTCTTACGATATCCCATGTATTCGTTTTACCATTCATGTTCGAGATTCTTAATTATGTTCTGATGCATGTTTTACCATTCATGGTTATGTTTAGACGTATGTTTTACCATTCATGGTTATGTTTTGACGTATGTTTTACTGTTCATGTTAGAGATTTGTGGTTATGTTTTATTGTTCATGTTGGAGATTTGTGATTATATTTTGATGGGTTTGATTTTGTATTGCATGAAAGAGTTGAAGAGAAGGGTAAAGAGCCTGCAATTTGGAAGGGCAGAGAAGGTGGAAATAGGCAATGTCGTAACCGGTTTTCGTCCGGGCACGAATTTTTACTTGGCGGGAAAAATGATGTGAATAAATGGTTTTTAAAATAATTTGGGAGTCGCCATCGGCCTTTTGGGTTAGGTAGGTCGAATACCTAAAAATTATCTTTTAAAAGAGTTTTAAGAAAACATTAGTTAAAAAATGAACTGATCTGCGTTTATAACCAAAAATTCGTTCTTTTTAATAATAAAAAGGGATTCGTGGTCGGTTACGTTTAGGGAATGATTAGCACCCCTACAACGCCCAAAATTGGTACTTTTTTTATTATAAATTGTCTCTATTATTAGAAATTAAAAATTCAAAATATATTTAATTTATAATCCTATTATTTTAAAATTATAATTATGAAAAATATATATTAATTTATATATATTTATAAATAAAATATTTATTTATTTAGAAATATCAGAAAAGGACTTCTAGGTGCCTTAAGACGGCTCTTTTCCTCGATATAAAAAATAAATAATTAATTAAAACAATTAATATATAATTTATAAAATAGGATATTATTTATTTAAAAATATTAGAAAATGGACATCCAGTTTTTTAAGACTGCCCTTTCTTAATATTGAAAAATAAATAAATTAAAACAAGATTAAAATAAGTTAAAAGTAATTAAATAAGATTTTAATAAATAAAATAAATATTATAATATATATATTTATGGCTAAATAATAATAATAATAGTA